CACTCGTACTGTTCCATCACTCGACGCAGAGACACACATGTGTCCATCCTGTAAACTTTAGAAACTTTAAGACTTTATCGAATAAAAAAGCGATGCTTCCTACATTTGCTACGGAACAAACCACTGCCAGTTCGTCCTCACGATTCCAGCTCAGTTCACTTCGCATTATGCAAACGCATTATATGGGGCAATAAATTCCATACCATCGTGCCTACCAGCACCGCACATCTTTTGCTTGATTGTTAATAAAAAAAAATACAATTTAATTCTCCAACAGCAAATAATTTCTTTCACTGTGACTCTAAAAAGTCATAAATCTTGGGATGCTAAAACTGTTTACAACTACGAAAGATGATTCACCAGCTAACAATAGAAAGTCGCGAGCAGCAGGCCTGTCAGGCATATTAGCAGCACGAAGACGCGCTGCGATGAAACATCAGTTAATCAAACAATTAAAACATGAGAGATATGAAATGCAGGAACACCCTACCCTTCCCCCATAATACTTTCTGTAATATAAAGGCATGCAAATGCAAAAAAAGAGCCATAGAATTCATCTTGGATATGAATGCTCCTGCCCTGTTTTGGGTCTAAAATTGCCTATCACAGAAGCAATTTCGTGGCACAGCAGAAAATCGACTTACCTCTGTGTACTTTGCATCATTAACAAAATTTGAATGGCCTCGAAGTTCCTTCAGACACTTGCCACTTTTGAGGCCATGAACTCTGTAACAGTAAAAATCGAAATGGCACAGAAAATCTATGACTAAAAATGAAAAATTACTGTGCATCAGAAAGAAATCAATGGAAAAGTTGTCGTACGATATAAAAATTCAAAAAAAAAACGAGTTTAGTTAACGTTCATTGAAAGTCGTCACAAACATTGCATACTTGATAAAAGTGTCGAATGATGCGGAGAGGACATAGGCATTGTCTCTCGAAAATTGCACGCTGTTGATGCCCATACTGTGTGCTTTCTCAATTCGCCTTAGACACTGTCCCGTCTGCACTTTCCATATCTAACAAATCACAGAACTCATTCACACAATTAACGTACCGCTTAACACTAAGATTTTCAGAGAAATGAAGTAATAGTGCAACAGTGACTGACGTTGCCTGTGACCAAAACTGAGCACAACAACCAAACGCTGTGAAAGAGACAATTTCCTTGCAACCTGCTTGGAGGAGGGCCAAAAGTGGGGCTGCTAGCAAACTACGGATCAAATCCTTATTTTCTGGAAAGCAACTGCAAATAATGGATATCTGGTCAGCAATATTTCACGCTATAGCTCAAGCAGCACTGTCATGCCTAATAAAAAAAAAGTATTTGAAATTTGCAGCTAAAATATGAGGTTACTTTTATTTTGCCTTGCATGCTTGCTGTGGCTAACATTTCAGAATCGCGGCTGAAGCATAAGCACAACACTAAGCCATCCATCATCATGAAATTATCCTGTGCCTGATACTTCAGATCTTTTCGCAGTTTACCGTTCATATAATTCCAAACCTAAAAACACAGTTACCATCCAAATAATGGAAAGATA